GTCCTGAGGCCGCGTTCACTAAACCCAAAGGCTCTTTTCAGAGCCACTCACGTTTTTCCTAAAAAGTGCTGGGATACTTATTGATGTCATTCTCCTGGCTTTTGCGGTTTTACGAGATGAAAAGACAAATTAATGGTGAGTTGCAACTAAGCAGTCACCAGATGTTGTTAGCGGATGAAGCCATGGAGTGTTAGGTCGTGGCGTTTGAGCTGGTACACCACCCCCGTGGCCGTGATCTCGGCGTGCTCCTTATAAACCCGGGAATACGCTACTGGGGTAGGCCAGGCAGCGGTTGGCGAGTTTGGTGATGCCTGAATGTTGTCACGTGTCACCTTGTGTGGCGCTTTCCTCCGTCCCCCCTACTCCCCGCTGTCTGCTAAACATACTTATTTTGGCAACAAACGTTTAGAAAACCAAAATCCGGTAAGCATGTTGCCATTGACTTTCCTTGACTTTCAAGGCTTCGGACCAAATTGAAAACTGGAGGAACAGCCTTGCAAACCTCACAGTTGTAGTTTCGTCTCCTGGAGGAGACTATCAGCGCCGCCCGCTGGCAGTTATCCAAGCAATCTTACGTGACCGCAAGGCTGGCTCTATGCTGAAGCCTTGAGCATCCTCTAGTCTTCGAAATATGGTTATTTTAGGCAAGGAATTGCTCGGTGAAGATAGCTCTCTGCTTGCGGAAGTGGGAACGTAGTGTAACAAAGTTCACAGCCTAGGTTGGATAGGATGAAAGACCTGCCTTCTGGCGCCAGCGGCAGCACTTGCCATGTGTCACCACGAATAAATTTAAGGACTCAGTTGTCTGTTTATCTGTAGAATTAATGTATTATTACTAAGCACAGCGTGTACAGTTTGGCATGTTACAGTGTTGGATTTGTGTTAACTTATTACAGCAGCACCATAATGAAGTAAGTACTGCCATCTTTGGTTTCTCAAATGTCCAAGGTCGTACAAGCCCAAAGCGGGGTGAATAGAACTTAAACAGCCGAACTCTGGAGGTGTACTGCTTGTCTTAGGTCATAACCCTGCAAATAAGCACTAAAAGAAGCCTTTGCTTTTATCTGTCACTCTTGCCTTACAACTGTTTGTTTATTCAATTTTGTTGGATATTAACATGTTCAGGTACTGTGCTTGACCCTTAATCCACTTAGGCCAGTTCTTACCTCTGTTTTGAAGCAGGTTAAGCAGTTTCTTGTAGATGTCTTTCCTCTGTAAAATGTGAATAACCTGGAGACTTCAATGACAATTTTAAAAGAGGATTCATCATCTAATAGTCACTCGGTATTTCTTTTTCTTTTTTTCTCTTGACCTTTGCATATATCAGAATCATGTATGTGAAGACAATATTACAATAATAAAGCATTTTCCTACAGGAAAACCAGTAAATCAACAATCTCTGGCCAAATTTTTTTTAATGAACTGCCATCCTGTTGCATTACGGTATTAACAGAAATTAGGAGATGCTTTTTAATCACCCTTTCCTGGTTCTAAGAGAAATTTCTGCAACTGACCAGCCCAAAATGATCAGTAAAAGTTAGCATCTTGACTCTTCTTAATGGCTTCACTAGCAAACCAGATACTAAAGTATATTTTTAAATGTTTTTCTTGGTACTATTAGGTAGAAATTAGACAAGAGCAGGGGATCAACCCTTTAGGAATACTTGGTACAGAGCACATGAGTTAATCAACAGCCCTACCTCATTGGCACTCAGTGATGTAGCCGACAGGACAGCTACTTCAGGACCCTTAAATGGTCTCAGCCTTACAAACTACTCCTTTAGAATAGAAGGAAGATAGGTAAATTCAGGAGAGGACAAGGATGTATTTGCTCAGAAGGGCCTGATTGATAAGATGTCTTAAACAAGACACCACACAAACAACCCAGACCAGAGATCCCCAGACTTGGGGAAGCAGGATGATTGAGACCAGAGCCTACCACCATAAACTATGTAAAACCAGTTCCAATTAGGACCTGTCAGCCAGGCCAAGATGACCCAGAGCTGCCTCAGGTTCTTAAGCTAATGTGTTTGTGAATCCAGAGCCCATAAGTGATATGAGGGCAGCACCTTCTCACAATCTCCCTCCTTGCCAAATAAAAGCTAGTACACAAAGAAGTAAGTTGCCCTTCTGAGATCGATATCTCTCTCCTCTCTTTCTCTCTCTCTCTCTCTCTCTCTCTCTCTCTCTCTCTCTCTCTCTCTCTCTCTCATGCTTCCCCCTTCTACTTTCTCTTCTAATAAACTTTGCTGTACTTTCACTAAGTCTCATATCTTGCTTGAAGTCCTCTTATGCAAGATCACAAAAGCAGAGATCACAATGCAATCTCTGTTAAAAACTTTTCCCAGGTATCATGTTATCTCTGCTATTGGTACCAGCTGTATTTCCTAAACCATTCACCACCCAGTAACATTTTATTCAGTATCTACTATTCACCATAATCCATTCATTGTCTGCTGGGATAGGAATGGAAAATCCTGAATAAGTCTTTAATTCTTAGTTCAATGCTGGTGATCCTGCAACCTTGTAGAACATTCAAAAAGAGTTTCACCAGGTGCAGTAGCACATGCCTGTAATCCTAATGGCTCAGCAAGCTGAGACAGGAGGATCACGAGTTCAAAGTCACCCTCAGCAAAAGTGAAGCACTAAGCAACTCAATGAGACCCTATCTCTAAATAAAATAAGAATATGGCTGGAGATGTGGATCAGTGGTTGAGTGCCCTAGAGTTCAATCCCCAGTTACTCCACCCCCAACAACAACAAAAGAATTTAGTAATATCTGTCAAAATTAAAAGTTCTTATATGTTTACACCCAGAAAGTCTACCTATATAAAATTACTATTTTAAAAAAATGTGCAAAATGATATATTTACAGGATTTTTCAGCAGCATAGTTTGAAGTGCAAAAGACTAGAAGCAATCTGAATGACCAGCAATAAATTTCAGTACACCATTCTACTTGGTGGATAAACAAATAGGAATGCTCTTTTTCTTCCCTGTGCCACATAATGTTCTAAAAGTTCTTTAAATAGTTTAATTTTTCATAGCAACTTTATGAGATTAAATATTATTATAACTGTTTTACAGATCATAAAGTGAGGATTCAGAGGAATTGCACAAACTGCCTGAGGTTGTATAGCTGGTTAGTAGTGACAACATGTTCGAAACCAGACTTTGGCTTCAGAGTCCATATTACAGCTACTATATACTATACAGCCTCTCTAGGCACTTGTGGTGACAATCTTCAAAATTTACTGTCAAATACCAAAAGCAAGTAGAGGATAGTGCAGTAGAAGTGTGTGCATGTGTGGTGGTGGGTGGGTGTGCTTGTGTAAAGTGTGTGTGCAAGAGCATGTGTGTGTGCACATGTGTACATGCGCATTTGTGGTATGTGTTTGTGGTAGGTATGTGCCTGTGTGGGGGTGCTTATATAAATGCAAACTATCTCTGAGAGAATACTAAATAACTATAATTGTGGTTGCCTCTGAAGAAAGATAGCTAGATGGATGGAGGATCTTTTCATTATAACTTGTTTAAGGTGTTTGGATTTTGATTCATAAAATGCACTGTTCATTCATAAATAGTATAAAGAATCCCTTCACTCAAATATTGCTAAAACACATCTTAAGACAATATAATGAATATTCCTGGAGAGGTGTGTGAAAAGCCCAAGGGGCACAGAATAAATAACATTGCTGATAGGAGTAGAGGGAATGCAAGACAGCTTTCTAGGCAATGAAGTAAGAAAATCAGAAATGGTGTGGTGGGCCTAAGGTCTGCAGGGACAGATGGAAAGAGCAGCCCAAGAGGAAGCTGTCATAGCTACACAAAGGTCTTCCTTTGAGGTGTCTTTAAATGATGACAGAGCTTGAGGATAGAACAAGTAGATATGAACTGTGAAGAGCATCAAGACTCTGAAATATGTACAATTCTAGATGCCAGTTTAACATGACATAGTTACTCATTAAATCAATCTAGCAATCACAGTGTTTCTTTGTTCCTCTGAGCAGGTGGAAGAAAGTACCATTAGTCCCTTTTGGAACTAGTAGACAAATCTGACAAGTAATAATTCACACTTAAAAAGAGAGAGATCAGCTTCCTCACGGTTTCTGCAACACGGGCAGGGGAGATCCAGCGGCTTCGGGGTGTCTGGTCCACTACCCGTCCTTGGTGCCATGTTTAAGGTGGTATCAGCATCCTACAGAAGAAGAATTAAGAATTCTTGCAGGGAAGCAACAAAAAGGGAAAAGCAGAAAAGACAGGAAATATAATGGTCACATTGAAAATAAACCACTAACCATTCCAAAGGATATTGACCTTCATCTAGAAACCATGTCAGTTACAGAAGTGGATACTTTAGCATTGCATTACTTTCCAGAATACCAGGTGGATTTCACAGTGGCTGCTACAGTTATATATCTAGTAACTGAAGTCTACTACAGTCTTATGAAGCCTACACAGAAAATGAATATCAGCTTAGTATGGTGCCTGCTGGTTTTGTCTTTTGCAATTAGAAGATGGTGGTGAAAGATCAGTTTGTGTCACCTTTGGATTTTTTTTCCTCGTCAAAGCAATGGCAGCTTTTATTGTAACAGAGAATTATCTGGAATTTGAACTTGAAACTGGGTTTACAAATTTTTCAGACAGTGCCATACAATTTCTTGAAAAGCAAGGTTTAGAATCTCAGGGTCCTGATTCAAAACTTACTTTCAAATTTTTCCTGGATATTTTCTGTTCACTCATTGGGGCTTTTTTGACATTTCCTGGATTACGGCTGGCTTAAATGCATCTGGATGCCCTGAATTTGGCAACAGAAAAAATTACACAGTAAGCGGAAAATGTACATAAGCACATGCAGATAAATATATGTTTTCCATCTTAATGAAGAACATTACTTCATATCAACTTCTTGGCACTTTTATTTATGGTTCTGCTCTGGGTAAAACCAATCACCAAAGACTACATTATGAACCCACCATTGGGTAAAGAAAGTGTCCCTTTAATGACAGAAGCTACATTTGATGCTCTACGACTCTGGTTAATAATCCTGCTGTGTGTTTTGAGATTGGCCATGATGCACAGTCACCTGCAAGCATATTTAAACTTAGCCCAGAAGCGTGTGGATCAGATGAAGAAAGAAGCAGGCCGAATAAGTATAGTTGAGCTACAGAAAATGGTGGCTCGAGTCTTTTATTACCTTCGTGTCATTGCCCTGCAGTATATGGCACCTCTGGTAATGCTGCTTCATACAACTCTGCTTTTGAAAATACTAGGTAATCATTCCTGGGGGATTTATCCAGAATCTGTCTCTACCTTGCCAGTGGATAATAGTCTACACTCCATTTCTGTTTACTCTGACTTACCATCTGCTGATGGGAAGATGAAGGTAACTGTTACACAAATAACAGTGGCACTGAGCAGCTTAAAAAACACTTTCACTCCTCTCCTTTTTCGAGGATTTCTATCATTTTTGACATGTGTTTTGAGATTGGCCATGCTGCTTGCCTCTTTTCTACAAGCCTTTTTGGGCTCTTCTATCATCAGTATCTGACTGTGGCATGAATCTCAGTTAACAAAAAAGGTCATCCAAGTCACACTCTGAATTCAAATATTTGTGTCCTTGAAGGGCTAGCAAAAACCAGAAGAAAGCAAATACAAAGGGGAAAAAAAAAAAAAAAAACATCAAAGTATCCTGTTTAAAATGCTTCCTCTGTATTCTCAGGGTGAGTTAATGTTGTAATATTTAAAATCACAAGGTGGATTGTTAACTATTACACTGTGTCATTGTATTAGAGTCTATAAACAAGTCAAAAATAACACCTGGCATTTTGCTAGGGGAATGTTAGAGTTCGTAAACAAGTCTGGATGGTACCTGGCAAAACGAACTGCAGCAGATGGTAACCCGTTACGGGGAGCCCCGGGACACTCGGGGGTAAGTGACGAAAAAAAGCTGCCCGTCCATAGATAGGACGGAAGCAAATCTGCTCGTCCCTAGGCAGATAGGGCGAGAGGAAAAATGGCCATTTCAAGAAAATGGAGAAGATTGATACAGTATGTTTGTGTCTTGTTTTGTCTCAGTGTATTGTATTGTCTTTGTGATGAAAATATGGAAGGGGTGAGAAGTAAATTTCTAAGGGAAGAAGGCACCCCAGTGGAACCAAGAATAATTAGGACATGTGTTGATGGAAGCCCAGGAACTCTAATCAGAAAGAAAAAGAAAGTTCAAAAGAAGAAAGATTATCAGGAAAAAAGTTGCAGCAAAAGGCTATTACTAAATACTTTTCGTTACCGGAGGGTGCATGAAGCGGAGAGGCAACTGCCAAGTGTGCAAGCCAGTCACAGCGCAGCAAGGATTTTCCAAGAGGCGGCGGCGACTGGCCCTTCCCTGCCTCCTGGCCAGGGAGCTAACTCTTCCACTGCCGCGAGCCCAAATCTAGACCTGACCTAGAGGCACAGTCTCGCAGGCTCTTGCTCCCTGTGCCCAGTAGCAGTTTGAGACCGGGACACTCCCCAGGGCCATCTGGGGCTGCCCAGGATGCCACAGCTGGCAGAAGACGCTACCAGCATCCCTGATGTTTGGTCATTTTCAATGCCAATAACTAAGCTACAATGGTTCTCCCACACCTGGAAGCTGATGAGTAATGAGCACTATTAATGCTTATTTCAAATGCAAAAAAACCTTGAGATAATGTACTAAATTGTTCAGAAGGTTGTTTTCTTAGTGGAATGCTACAGGATTTTCTTTAGCCATCCGGAGTTCCTACCTTCGTCCCAGTGCCAATGAAAACAAAAGTGAAAGAATTTCCAGTGTTGCTGAAAACCGGACGGAGACTTCAGCTGAGAACCATACGAGACTTTGGATCAAGCTAGCTGCCTGCAGAACTTACCTGGACTATGATTTAAGCTAGCTGCCTGCAGAACTTACCTGGACTGTGATTTACCTGAACTGTGAGTTAATCTATTGAGCCACTGCTTTACCTGGACTGAGACAACAAACTGTAATCAATAACAAATTGTAACTCAATATCTTTGCTAACAGTGTCATTGCTAATATAATTTTTCCAAGGGCTTCTTGCATAGAGCCATCAAGTGGCTTGGTATTGTGGCATTTTGTATCCTCCCTTTCTGTTTGTAGCAGGTTATTTATGGTGTTTCTGTAAAAACCACTATGGTCATTATTTAAATTAAACAAAAGGGGGAAATATTAGAGTCTATAAACAAGTCAAAAATAACACCTGGCATTTTGCTAGGGGAATGTTAGAGTTCGTAAACAAGTCTGGATGGTACCTGGCAAAATGCCAGAGGGAATGGTTTGAGAAGTAACAAAAGCAAGCCATTAAGTGTAGAGATTCCTTATTGGTTGACTGATGTATCTAGTTTATGCTAATTAGATAAGCTGTGTGGAATATATAAATACTGCTCCTGTCCTGCAATAAAAGGCTCCCACTCCTGCTGTATCAATCTACACAAGTTGTTCGTCACACCCCGGTTATTTTGCTTCAGCCGGACTGCGGCATCATTGGAATTTTAACTTACTGTTTTAACTAATGTGAGAGGGCTATCTGCAGGGGTAATACTTGTGATTACCTTGGTTTACAGAAACCTCCAGCAGTCTTTCAAACTTCTATTATGACTCTAGTTACTGAATGCTCTTCATGGTATTAAGGTACTGTTAGTAGTCCTAGTGGCTGCCTATAGAACAATCTTCAAACTGAGCCATGCTTTAGGGGAGAGAACAGAACTAAAGTCATTTCTGTTGGTAATATATTAGTTACTCTTCAAACAACAACAAAAATCCAACAGAAAGGAAGAGATAGCTACGTATATTACAGTAAGGAAAGCTGCATAGATACTTTAAATTTAATGGAGTTGTATGTGCTTGATATCTGCAAGTACTGCTCCTTGAGAGTAGCAAAAGTGTTGTTTTAAATTATATTTTACCTAAGTTGAAAGTTCTTTTTTTTTTTTTTTGAGAGAGAGAGAATTTTTTAATATTTATTTTTTTTTTAGTTTTCGGCAGACACAACATCTTTGTTTGGATGGAACATGGGCATGCCAGGCAAGCGCAGTACCGCTTAAGCCACATCCCCAGCCCAGTTTAAAGTTCTTTTAAAACTGTTGGCCATATGAACATTTGCAGTCTTACTGTTTGGGCCTGCCATATTTTATGTTATTCTGTGATCCTAGATAGTTTCTTTTAATTGTCTAAAAATATTTATCAGTACTGATCAGACTTTTAAGAAATTACTTTGAAATCCTGTTGACTACATGTATGTATTGTATATATAATATATTAAATATATAATATATTGAGATTATAAAAGATGAAAATATTGGGATCCTTATAATATTTTAAGCTCTGAATGTATGGTTAAAAACTGATTTGAATGAGATGTATTTGTATCTAGAAATTTTATTTCTGTTTGGAATGAGATTAAAATACATTTTGAAAGTTCAAAAACAAAGAGATATCAGATATAATATTGCTAGTTTATAGCTTATGATCAAATAGGAAATGGGTTGGAATTGCACACCACACAGATAGAGATCTATGGGATGTGCAGCTATGTCTAGTGTTTGCACATTTAAGGAGACTTGGTACAAGTGAGATGACCCTCCCTGTTTGTGTTAATTTGAACAAACAACCTGGTGCAGTGGTACAAAATGCCATCTGGTAAGCAAAGCACCATCCCTCAGCAAACTGAATATATTGGCTCCACAATCTTGAAATCCTGCCTCTAGAAACATATGAATAAGTTTCTATTATTTACAAGCCACCTAGCTTATGGTTTTTTTGTTATAACAGCCTAAATGGATTAAAGTGCACAAAACTGTATCATGTGGGAGAGAGAAAGAATTTCACATGCCATCTCAAATTCTTTGACCTCATTTATAAAAAGAATTATAATTCTTTTTGCTTCAAGAAAAAGGGAACATGTCCTTTGATTTTCTTCTAGTCATTTTGTTAATTACAAACTTCATTTATGAAACTAACTAGATTCTGAATTTGTATTTGTAAATATGATAAGATAAAGTAGGCCTGAATGCATATTTTGCATGAAGAAACAGGAGAAAGCTGAAGAAGATGCGATTTCATAACAAGAGGATAGAAAGCATGTAGAACCCATATAGTATGCTTTGTTTTTTTTTTTTTTTTTTAATCTTCATATATTTAGTGTAGGTAGATTCAAATTCTTTTACGCAAGTTTTTTCTCATTTTTCAAAAATATTATAGCCTCATGTTTCCCTATGAGAATCTGCTCTTCAGTCTCTCAGAACATATTTATAAGACACAAGCTAGAGTGGAATAATCTGGGGGATTTAAGGCTGGGAAACCTTGAGGCATGTCAGTCCGTTTGTGCTGCTATAAAAGGATGTCTGGCTCTTTTGCTCGCCCATGGCATTGACAAGATGGGCAAGTTTCACCGTCTTCGTACTGCCAGGAAGCTCCGTAGTCACCAATGGGACCAAAAGTGGCATGATAAACAATACAAGAAGGCCCATTTGGGTATAGCCCTGAAGGCCAACCCTTTTGGAGGTGCTTCCCATGCAAAGGGAATTGTGCTGGAAAAAGTAGGGGTTGAAGCCAAACAACCAAATTCAGCCATCAGGAAGTGTGTCAGGGTCCAGCTGATCAAGAATGGCAAGAAAATCACGGCTTTTATACCCAGTGATGGTTGCCTGAACTTTATTAAGGAAAATGATGAAGTTCTAGTTGCTGGATTTGGTCCAAAAGGTCATGCTGTTGGCGACATTCCTGGAGTCCACTTCAAGGTTGTTAAAGCAGCCAATGTCCCCCTTTACAAAGGCAAGAAGGAAAGACCAAGATCATAAATTTTGCTGATGAAAACAGTATTCCAGAAATGTTTTGTATTTTATTTTCTCCCTCTTGCTGCCACAAGTTACATTGTGTGCTTTACCAGTTTTAGGAAATGGAAGAATGATTATTTGAGCATTTGTTAGAATAAGTGGGATTAGTAACCTAGAACAGCTTCCCTTCCTTCATGGAATAAAGGAAATGACTTAAACCTTTAATAAATGCACAGTTTTTTTACTCTAGAGTACTTTTTAAACTGATTGAATTTCTAGATTTTATTTTAGTGGTTCTCAGGTTTCATTGAGCAGGGATCCATGGGTATCCTTGGAAGCACATGCTTGCCACCATCTTCCTGGGGCTCCAAGATGATAAAGAACCCTCATAAGTTGCTCCCTGTTCCGTTGAATACCTAAAGGTATCAGGATGTATGTTGTAATTCCATATTTATGTTATTCTGTTTAAAGTGGGAATGATTTAGTTGATGGAAGTACCTGCCAGGCAAATTGAGGCATAGAGGGAAAGGTTATCAAAGAGCAAGGAAGAATCATAAGCCACATAATTAGTCTTTTGGGTGCCCTTTCTCATGAGTATCAGTAAATGATATATTTTGACCTTGACAAGCTTTACTTGTATGTTGTGTTTTGATAACTGTTGAAGGTGAGTGTTGAGTACATGGAACTTCTACTGTCAAAATTTTTGTTTTTGAAATTTCCATAAAGGGCATGGCTGTTAGCCTTCTGGATTACATTAGTGATCTAAAAGATTTCTGTTGACTGCATTCATAAATGTGATTAATTTAAAATAAAAATAAAAGAATCTCTGACACTGGTTCATTTATCAAGAACAGAAATTTGTTTTCTCACAATTTTGGAGGTACAATTTGAAGTTCAAGGCCCCAACAAGTCTGGAATCTGGTGAGGGCCTGGGCTATGCTTCTAAGATGGCTATTGACCTCTGTGTCCTCAGGAAGGGGGAGGGAGTACTGTGTCCCCACTGCCTACTGCAACCCAAGGGCAAAAAGCAACCCACCTCTATCTCCATGGGACACTTTGATGAAGGCATTGACCATAAATGAGGACAGAGCTTTGTGACCTAACACCTCCCAACAGGCCCCACTCCTCAATGTTGTGGCATCTGGATTAAGTGTCTATCACATGAATTTGGGGGGACGCACACAGATCACAGCAAGCAAGGCCCCACACACTGGACTCTCCCCTAGCCAGTTCACATCAGCAGTGTGATAAGGTGTAATTGACTAGTGCAAGCAGGGACCTTATCAGGATGCTTGCACTTGATGGATACACTCACGTTGCCAAAACTTAGAAGGCATAGCAGTGCATAGCAGAAAGCTTACGAGAACTTTTAGAAATTGCTGTTATAGAAGATGTGCCTGGCCTAAGCTCTGACCACAAGTTCTCCATCAAAAAGTATTTTAGCGAGGAAAAAAAAGGCAAAGTAGATGAAGTAGCCTAATCACTAAGCAGCATTCCCACAATTCCAGGGGTGTGTTATAACTTTTCTCACTGGCAGTCAACACTCTTCTGTTTTCCTTCACTTCTTAGAATTTCTTTCTAGATTTTAAGCATGCCAGTTATAGACTCATGCTCGGGTCTGTCATTAAATTGTTACCATTTCACTTTGACTTTTACATTTGACTTGATGATTTTCCTAAGGTCTGGGAAAGAATATTTTATTGTGGTTTTGCTCATATGATAACCAAGTTCTATCCTTTCTTCAAATTCTGGGAAAGAACTCCATTTGAGGCCTATAACACAAATTCCTTGATGACAGCCTCAGAAGATGCATCTTAGAAAGCTTAGCACAGCTCAGTTCTCGAGTATGTTGAGCTGGAATTTCAGTGTCTGGGTGTACAGAAGTCTACAGGCTCAGAATTTTAGTCAATTTTGCCATGTATAAGAACTGTGTGTCAGAAAGAAAGGAAAAGAGTGCAAAGACCTGCAGGCTTGACCACGCAGATGAGTTTAAGTTCCCATTCAGTCGCCCACAGCTCTTCCTGTCCCTCCCCATTCAATGGAAGTAGGAGCTACACCATCTAGCCTGATTCTGAGGTCAGAGAGAGAAAACAATCAGGATAGGCAGACAGACAAAAGCAAGAAAGGGAAAAGAAACTGTAACTTTAAATCTGAGCAGCTCCACACCTTCACCTTTACTCCCCAGGCCTGAATTCCTAAAAAGCCTTTAAATCTTAGAGTACTGTGAGTCTAGATGATTAATGCCTGCATGCATGGCTAGCTTACATAACCTATTTTCTTTAGACTAAATAAAGCCAAGGGAAAAAATATTGTTAGAGACTTGTCGTGGGTATATTCCAAACATCATCTGTTCGCTGGATGCAGTCAACCTAGAGATCCTGAAAGGATCAAGTACTGAGGAGCCTGTCTGTGCTCCATGGCAAAGAGAATGCAATTCACCAGGCTGTCACCCCAAACAGTCCCAGTCTCACCATTTACAGTTTCCTTTAAAAGAAGAGCCAAAGACCCCAAAAGTGCCTCCTCTCACATGACTTCTCCCTTTGAGACAGCATCCTGCACTATTGCTGCCTTCCTGAATAAGTCGCCTTGCTTTCCTAAAAAAATCTTTTCATGCATCCTGAAATTTCTTTCTGGGCAAGTCAAGAACCTGCCAGGACTGAGTTGAGGTCTCTTCTTCCTTCTGGGAACCTCCTCAGACCCCTATCCAGTGACCATTCCTTGATGAGAAAACAAAAACAAAGCAACAACCTGAGGATCTGAGGCCACAAAGGGGCCTCCAGCCCAAGGAGGCAGTTATTGCTGTGCAATTAGACCTGTGCGGAGACTCATTCTACCCAACCTCAACTGCAGAGTGGGAAGTAGGAAACCAGCCCGGTTTCATTGGAAAGTGGTAAGAACCAAATAAGAAGTCCCTGCAACAGAAATAATCAAGCACCATGCATTCAGGGGGATGAGAATGATACTGGAATCACAGGGGGACTTTGGGGAGCGTTTTCTTATCCCTAATCATCTTATAAATATTTTTTACTTTTTCACATTTCACTCCACTCTCTCACACCCCAGGTCAACAACATGGTGACCAACCATCAGTTCTTAAATAGTCTCGTAAGGAATCTTTGAACGTAGTTGTTCACTAAAGCATTAGTTAAGGCAGCAGAAAGCTGGGGTTCGTCCAACCGGACGTCAGTGAGAGAGTGCTTAGGTCAAGATCCTGTGCTGGTTCCTACTGCCACGTGAACCAGCCTGAACCCCGGGGGCATGAAACACATGTCATATTCCCGGTCCGCAGCCAGAGATGGCCACGGGCAGTGATGCAGACGGCGGGCGAGTGTCTGCACTCTCTAACAGCAAGGCGGCCCGTGCGCAGCCGGACGGTCACCGACTAGCTAGGGAGGGATTCCGACTCCACGGACGTCGGGGCAGCGGCGAATTCCCGTTTCAAAATGAAGTGAATAGGTCCTGATGAGCGCTGCCAATCGCCTGCGAAGATGATTTTGTGGAGGCTCCAGACAATCCCGGGAACGAGCATTTCATTGTCAGAAAAGGCCCGGGAACACCCGGTGGATGCTCGAGCTGGTTTTCCCAAACTTGTGCGTCCTGAGGTCAGTCCCCGGTGCCGGGCCGCAGTGGGCGTGGCAAGACTTCCAGCATCACCTACCCCGACCGTAACCCCCAAAGGACGGTTGGCCCTGGACCCGCAAAACACCCACAAGTTTCCCAAATGCTCCGCTAGGGGGCGCTGGGATCTCATTGAAAACGAGCGTCTTAACATTTCATGGTGATGGTGCAGGGATTAATTTTTGTCACAAGAAAAACTTGTTAGAAGAAGCTGCTTGCTGGCCCCATGGTGTAATGGTTAGCACTCTGGACTTTGAATCCAGCGATCCGAGTTCAAATCTCGGTGGGACCTCATCCCTTTTGTCACTTTTCCCTGCAAATCATATGTTTATCCTTTGAAATCCACTAACACCTGAGACCCAAATCTTATCTTTTCAAACCTTCGTGTCATTCAGCCCACCCACCATTTACTCTCATGAGCAAAGTATTCTCAGTCCTCAGAAGTGTGAGCCCACCTGTGCAAGCAAGCCCGTACGCAGAAATCAACACTTCTAGATGGTGAGGGGCTCATCCCTCCGGGGTCTCCCTTTGGCTTGATTCCTAGAAAGGAATGTGTGCATAAAGGAGAAGTGCCTGGTTTTAAAAGAATGCTCACATTACCTGCTCCATGCCTGGAAAGCAGCATCTAAACTCAAAAATCGAGGGCAATGAACTTGGACCTGCGCTTCCTCCAGGCTTCGCTCTTCCACGGAAGGTTGGCCTACAAGCCCAGCTCAGGGAGGGGCTGGGTTGTGGCTCAGTGGTAGAGTGCTCCCCTAGAGTGAGGCCCTGGGTGAGGCACTGGGTGAGATACTCAGCACCACATTAAAATAAGTAAATAAAAATAAAGGTGTGGGCTGGGGATGTGGCTCAAGCGATAACGCGCTCACCTGGGATGTGTGGGGTGCTGGGTTTGATCACACCACATAAAAATAAAATAAAGATCTTGTGTCCACCGAAAACTAAAAAATAAATATTAAAAACTCTCTCTCAAAATAAGTAAATAGAGGCGTTGTGTCCACCTACAACTGAAAAAAATACTTTTAAAAAAAGAGTCGAGTTCACAGGTGGGAGCAGAAAGCATCATGGCTGCAAACCTCACTGCCCATGGTGAAGCCTCTCCCTTGCACTGGGTTTCTCTGTACCGCACTTAGCGGTTTGAAGTGCACAGCCCTGGAGAATCACTCCAGTCCTTTACCTTCTGCTTGAGGCTGCTCTCTACATACCAACAATTGTCACCCTAGCCTGCACACATCTCCAACCTATTCGCCACTTTTCCTGTCACACACAAAGCCCAAAGTCAGCTTCCATTTCGTCCACTCATTGTTTCCTATTCTTTTGTTTTGCCTGCAAAACTTTTTTTTCCTCCTCTCCACCTTCATGAGATCTAGATCTCTAATTCTCTTACATACTCATTTGGACCTCCC